CCAGCCGGTGACTCTCCCCCCCCCGTCGTCTGTCGCGGCTCTCCTGAAGGACGCGCTGCTGCTGGACGTGAAGCTGGGGCAGCTGCCGGCCTGGATGGTCGCGCGGGACTACAGCCTGAACGGGATGGCGGGGGCCGTGCGCAGAGGTGAGCCGAACATTTACTAACGGGTTTTTTTTGGGGGGGGGTGTCGTCAGGATGAAGCGGTTTCTAAAGGCTTTGCCTCCCTTTGTCTTAAGACGCACAAGACTTTAGGTGCCCTAAAATTACTGCACGCGCGCCCTGTCCCCGTCCCCCCCTCGGTGCCCGCCGGCGGCTGGGGAGTCGGAGACGCCGGGGTCGGATCCACCCGACCGGCAGGGGGGAACCCAGCCGCTCTCTGGCTCCGTGCCCCGCGCGCGTTTAAAACGGATGCTGATTTTTGGAGCTTGGGTTGCCTCCTGACAGCTGTCTTTCACTCGGGCAATAGTCCGTCTGGGCCTTGCGTTTTTCTCGCGGCTCTTCTCTGAGCCCGGTGGCGGCGCAGAAAGTGGCTGCCTGCGGCCGCGCAGGCTCCTGGCTGCCGAGGAAATAATTCTCGTCTGTTTAGGTTACATCAGCTTCCACGATAAGTACATCGGCGTGAAGAAGGGGGGCTTGACTGGTTTGACCATGCTGCTCGCTGGCTACGTTCTCATCAGCTACATGGCAAGCTACAAACACCTGAGTGAGTAAAAGCTGATTCTCTTTCATTGAGAGCAACTGTTCGGGTGCTGCTTGGAGCCGAAGAAAAATTTAAAAACCCCTGCTGTCTCTTCAGTAATAGTGTAATTAATGGTCTAATTTATGTACCCGGGGTGATGCCACGCATGTGATGGGAGTTCATGGGACTGCGAAGTGAGGCTTGCAGACTTTTAACGGGGCTTCTGCTATTTTGTGAGACGGACCGAAATCCGTTAACTTCTGTGGAAAATGGGCGTAATACTAGAGTACCTGGCAAGAAAGTTACAAAGATAAATGAAGCATGTAAACTGCTCAGGTTATCGCTGTCTTTTTGATAGTGGGAACAAAGCTTATGTAGCTGCCTTTTACATCTAACGAGACTCTGCACTGCATAAAATTCTTGACTTCAAAAGGGGCTCCATCAAACGTAGCTACTGACTGATTCTGTTACTCCTTTTACTTTGATGTAGAGCATGACCGTTGGAGAAAGTATCACTGAAACACAAGCTTACTGAAGAAAGCCTGGTTGCAGCCCTGGACTTTGACTCAGCTGCTAGAACAGCTTCCTGAACGAAGGCATTTACGCTGTTCGCACCAAAGTCTGCCTGGAATTATGAGAGTGCAGAATATGACCAATAAACAAAAAAGTGGATATATTTAAGTTTTGATTTAACAGACTTTTCTTAATATTGTATAAATTATAGGTTCTGGTGCTAAGAACACTCCCAAGAGACTGTCCCCCCTTCACCATGTAGGTAAAGACCTTTATAACCACCTTCTCATTGCTATTTAACAATCTTCTACCATGTACTCTCACAAGCCAAGCTCAGATGGGGTCAACCTTCATTTTAAGTGGCTGAGTTCTAAGGCTCTCTCTGCTTTAATAATCCCTCTGCTGCAAGTTAACCAGAACAAATACTGGTGCAGATATTGCTAGTCAGAGTTTCAGAGTGTGAGTGAAGGGAGAGTTCCACTTTCTGAAGATGTTAATACCTGTCTCTCAAAAACAGTTTCCCTGTTAGAGGACCAAGCTGGTCCTCCTTTAGTTTAAAACACTTCAAGACATAAGATCAGTGATTAGGCTGGTTTGCAGACACATGTTGCTTGTGTCACTGCTACTAAGGACAAATTTGCACACCCCCTCTATTACCAAACTCTTTTTCTTTAACAAGAAAGAAAAGCAAATGGTTGAAAGTGGATGTGACCGATTCATTTGAAGGTGGGTGAAGTAAACATATGGAGGGGGTAGAAGAAATGAAGGTTCTCCTCCAAAACTTCCTTGCTGTTCTAATGTAAAATATGCTGATAAGGAACACAGGAAGGTTGGTCATAAAGCATACCTAGGATACATGCACAGCCTTGGCAAGTGATGGTAACAAGCGGCATCATAGTCTTCAGCAGGGCATCAAGGTCCATGACAGAAATTGGCTCCAACAGCTTGAAGAGAAAAGAGCCTGTGTGGCAGGGCATCTTTGGTGCCTGTCACTTTAAGGGCTTGAGCAGGCTGCAGATCAGCCTGCAAGTGGGAGCAGACCCAATCAGGAGTGTCACATGGCACCTAGGAGACTGCCTGATTTGTGTAGAGCTAGGCAACTGGGGTGTAAAACAAGCCCTGATTGCAAAGCCTGGCAGTTGTAACGGGAGCCAAAAGGTGAACGTCTCCCAGCTGGAGTACTGCTGCTCCAGCAGATCTGGTGACCATCTATAAACATACCAGGGGGGACCAGCAGGGAATGGGAGTCCCTGTTCCCCCGAGCAATACCAGGAGTAACTAGGAATAACAGCCACAGGTTGACTGAGAGTAGATTCAGACTAGACATCAGGAAGCACTACTTCACAGGGTGGCTAGGATCTGGAACCAACTTCCAAGGGAAGTGGTGCTTGCCCCTACCCTGGGGGGTCTTCAGAAGGAGGCTAGGTAATCACCTAGCCGGGGTCACTTGACTCCAGCATTCCTTCCTGCCCATGGCAGGGGGTCAGACTTGATGATCTGCTCAGGTCCCTTCCGCCTCTACCAACTATGAAATGATTTATGCCTATGTTACAACTATGCATGCAGTTACTTGGGGGAGGGGGAGAGAAGACAGATCCTGTAGTCTGCTTCAGACTTGTCAAGATTCAGGCTGCCTCAATCTGTACCTGGCTTATGAAGGCAATCTAGGCACTGCAAGGAAAACCAAGCCTTGTTTAAGGGAACAGATAATGCCATAGTTGTAAATTGGGTTCTACTATTAAGATGGGGCTCTGGTGAGGACATACAGGTGCAGTTCAGCTGTGGAAAGCTACACTTGCTGGCTTAAGATAATGTTACATGCACATACTAACCAAATGCAAGAACAAGGTTCTCTAGCCCCATCCATCCAAATACAGCTGCAGTTAGTTATATGTAGCAGCCGTGTATTGAATACACTAGCAAACTCAGCTGTTTAGACTTCAGGGGACAGCTGTCTTGACATCCATGTCATGAAGAATGCCATTGACCTTCAGCAGTGGTCTGGTTGTGGTTTCAATCATGGTGTTTCAATGTGAATATCCCTCTGTGTACAAAAAGAAGGGGGCTCCATTAACTCCAGTTCTCTTTCTTTACAAAATAAATGGACATATTTATATCCATAAAAAGTCCTGTGCAGTCATTTAAACGAATACAGAGCTCCTATCATGGTTGTCTGTAGGCACATTACCCTGTTCCTGAAAGATGACACACTTGAGTTTCACAGCCAACTTTGAGTACATTTCAATTAAAACAAGAAAAAGAATGCATAAAGGCAACTAGGCAAATGACAGATGTTTGAGAATTGATAAGGCTCACATTCTAGATGCATTATTTTTAATTCACATTTTGTTGACCCTTTAAAAATTCTCTCACAAAATCAACAGATTTCTGCTGGCAGGAATATGTTCTACAAAGATGCTCTTGCTCTTGCACCTGCACCCAAATTTAAAAGCAACATCCTACAAGAAAATATTGCTCCAGTTCATTTTTTAATCACCTGGGAAGATACTTTGTGCAACATGACTGCTAAGTGTGGGGAAGCCAAATTACAGCGCAAAAAAGCCAGCTACCTTCAGTTGCTGGCTATCTGTACACCATTATATCATTAAAGCTACTTCTGCTTTGAGCTTGGACTCCATTTGGCTGAAGGTGGTGAGCACAGACCTGTTTTTTTAACAGCCAAAGCTTGTGTGATTTTAGAGGTGTCAATTCATTTACCTCGCACAGTTTTCACGTATAAGGACCAACTTCTCATCCTGCAATGATGTGAAGGGAACCACTGCTGGCAGGGGTGCACAAATCTAATGCATGGTGGGCAAATACATTACATCATGGCACTTAACACATGACATATTAAGTGAGCTAACAGGACACTTCTTTTGAAACTCACTGATCATCTCAGACTGGACATAGAAATACAAGTCGCCTTTGAAGACCTGCAGGACACAATTTTCCTCTCCAAAAAGTGAAGGAGATTCACGTGCTAGTTCTTCCATTCGGTCTTCCTCCTTGAACCAGAATCACCGAAAGGCTGGAAGCTTCGCAGAGGGTAATACCAGAAGGAAAACATTGGAGAGAGAAACACTGGAGCAAGATGTGCATTGTGCCGAATGCTGCATTGCTCAGGCTTGCATATCTATTTGTCATTAGATATGATCTTGCCAGGCTCAATGAAAGTGGGTGGAGACCGAAATCTATTTTAAAAAAAAGGTTAAAACATAAAAAAATTGTGGGCAATTACAAAAGTTGCCTATCGACAGCCAGCCTCTGACTAGGTCTTTCAACAATGGTGTTAAAAAAACAAACAAACCAATCAATAGTTCAAGGTATAGTGCAAGGCAGAAACCTTTCCTCAGTATAAAGAGTCCCCTTGCACTCTCCTTTAGACTGTCACTGTCCACTGAGAAAGGCTAGATGTCCTTTGGTGCATCTGTTGGCGTAATGTCCTTTTTCACCACACTGGAGGGGGAAAAAAGGGAAAAGCTTACATTCTGTAGGCAGCTTTTAAGCAACTGCTCATAAATTTAATAAGCCACAGTTTTATTTTGAAACTCTGTCATTCATACCAGACAGTATTCAACATAGTGCATTGTGTCCTGTCCCACAAATGATACTGCCCCAGCTGCTTACTGCTCAACCAAATGTCATGACAAGGACCAAAACGTGTCTCCATGTTGGGATGTACATGTAAATCGAGACAGAGAATTTGAGTTCACTGGGAAGCTGCCTTGCTAGGAACTATAAGTCTGGGCTGGGTAGTGTATCTGTGTGTGTATCCTGCCATGCAGCTTGGCAGGAAGGAGGTGTGCTATGACAGAAGAATCTTTACCCGTTCTGCAACAGCACTGTATGTTCAGTTTCCATCCACTGTGAGGCTCTGTCACATAGCAGCAGGGCAATATTCTTCAAAGGAGGGCATCTGGACTCCTTTTTTTTTTGCTCTTGGAACTAACAGTGCTCATCTATCTCCTGCTGTGGTAGTCTTTTCTGTAATTACCAGGTGGACAAAGCCCATTGATGCACTACCAGCTGATCACAGCTCATCCACGGGCTAGTCACCTGGTAATCCAGAGGCTCCATATTTCTTACCAACATCCTTCAACTCAGCTGCAAGCATTGCAGCACATATATTCAATACACTCCTTTACCAGGTCAAAACTTCTTAGGAGGTTCTGCTGTTCCAACACCTCAACTGTATGCCTTTACTGTGATCTGCTCCAAGTTAGAGTGATGGGATTCGTGACTAGCAGCATGAAAGATGCACAATTTAGTTGAAGCGAATGACACTTTATGCTTTTCAAACTCAAACCCAGCTTGCAAATTACCTTGTAACAGGTGACCTGCTCCAGCGGCCGGGGACCTCTGTTCCCCGCGTTGTTGTTTTGAGACTGCATGACTCCGATGACTTGTGGGGTCCTCTGCTGGTTGGGAGAAGAGTTCTGACTCGTTAACTGGATCAAGGATGATGACCTTTGTAATGGCGGATTGTTATTTTGCTGGGAGGGAAAAGAACACCCCACAGATTGAATAATAAATTTTCCTAGAAGTGGATTTCGATGGTTATCTGCCAGCTGAAAACCGGAGATGAAAGTGCAGGAATACTAGGCCACATGAGGCCTGATCTAACAGCCAAGCTTTCCTCCAAAAACAGCTGCAGAGTTGGGCTCAACTGCCAAAAACAAGCATCGTTAACTCTGTGACAGGTGTCAGATATTTTTTTTTTTTTTAAATCAACCTGATAGATTGTTGTTTGGAACATAAAAACCCCTCCAACAAATGAGATGCTATAGTTTATAAAAGGTTGTGTTACATGACTTGCACCTCACACTGCAACACAAGTAACCTTAGGACTCATGCTCAGAGAAGCAAGAAGGAGAAAACACCTCCAGAATGAAGGTGGCAGCAATCTGCTGGGGTAAGTAAAAAAAGAATGGACTTTTCCCATTTTACAGGTGTTTGCATTAGGCTGCACAGTGAGATCCAAGAAGTCCTCATGTCCCATTTCTGTTCTGACCGGTAAACCATGCATCCTTCTTTGAAAACTATTACATCAGGCTGCGTGGAGAGTGGGGTGTCTGTAGGCAGAGGAAGTGGGGAAAGCTGTACCTTTTGCTGTGTTTGCGTTGGCTGGGGCAGTGGCGGTTGTTCTGTTGTTCCCATAGGCAATTCAAATCGAGGGCTGGTTTATTCGTACGCAGAGAGAAAAATACAAACAGAGACGTGAGACTGGAATCCAAGACTGGTATTTCTCACCAGTGCAGCACTACCTAGAAGTAGCGTGCAAGCTTAGTTATTTAGGTCAGTGGTTTTCAACTTTTTTCATTTGTGGACCCCTAAAAAATTTTGAATGCAGGTGCGGACCCACTGGAAATTTGAAATGGAGATGCAGACCCCTTTGAATTGTGTCAGTATTCACATACTTTTGATTGATCGTAGTCAGTCTTTTGTGGATCCCTTAGACAGAGTCTGTGGACCCACAGGGGCCCACGGACCACAGGTTGAAAACCACTGATTTAGGTGGTCTATTTGTGGAGAGAGACAATCTGCCTTCCTACATTCAGCTGAGCTTCAAACTGACATGACAGCAGTCTACAAAATGTGCACCAGAGAAGCACTCTGAGAGAAATATTCATGGAACCTTGTTGTCCTGAAAGCCTTTGGCTCAGTATCACAGTGTTATCAGTAAATAGCCACATAACTACAATCCCCTTAATTTGACACTGAGGAAAGATGAATCAAAGTCCATACCAGCTTTAACTGAATGAACTTGCTCTCCTTCCCAAAGATTAGAAAAATACTATTAAACAAAAATTTTCAGCGACAGTCATTAAAAAAGAAACAACGTACCTAGAGCCAAAAAGACTAGATCAGCTATTACCATTAAAATGCTTGTATGAAATACCCCGACCCAGTGATGTTTTTAATACCTCCATGAGGAACATCAGTGTGATTTGCCAAACTCTCTTCAGTCATTCTGACTTCAAGCCAATTGCCTTTCTAAGAAGCAAACTCTAACATGACAGTACCTCAGCCAATATGCAGTTACTTCATCATCATACTAATGAATACAAATGTAGATCAGAAAAATCTAATATGCAGCTGATCAGGAAAGAAACTTAAGATGACGGAACAAAGTCTGCAATATACTCACTGCATAAATTTGCAAGTGGGACCCTCCGGACAGAATCCCACCAGGTAATTCACACAAATGACCCGTCGAGTGTGTCGATGTCTGCAGAGGGGACCTGCAATATAAACCTTAAGAGATAATATTTCGTATACCTACAACTCACCCCTGCCAATAGCTTGCACTAATAGGAGGGACAGACAACTCAACCCTGCCAATAGCTTGCACTAATAGGAGGGATAGTGTGGTGGCTCATGCAAAGGTGAAACAGTATAGCAAGAGTCTTCCCTCAACTTTGAAAGCCACCCACGCAGCAAGCATGCCCCATACATACCATGTTTGCAGAAGCCTCTGTCATACCAAGGACAATCTTTGATTTTAGACTCTGGGTCGATATGCAAGAAGGGACATTCCTTGTTACTGCATTCCCCTGTAGCAAAGCAAGACACGCTCCTTAGGGAGTGGAACAGATGCGAGGAAGAATGCCCTCCCGAAACTACGTAGGTTATCTAATTTGGAATTGGTCTGAATTTTCACCTTGATGATAAACAAATATTCACCTAGGATTTGTAACATCCTACCAAGCAGTTCACTTAGATGTGCATTTAATAATAAAGTACAAAGAAAAACCAAAGAATGGAGAAACAAATTACACACTAACACCTGATCCAAGGACACCTCTGGAACGCTTATGTTTTTTACAGCAAGATGCTTCAATATGTCAATTTAAGTTTATCTAGATCCTAAGTAAGAAAGCAGGTGCATCTACATTTCTGTACGACTATCCCTCTGCTACTCATCACCTCACCAAAAATTAATTCAGAAACTGATCCCCACTCAACTCGGATCAAAAGTCAGCTTGTGTCCAAAATCCATGGAAGTCATGGAACAAAGCATTCAAATCTCCAAGACTGAACATGCTCTGAAAGAAAAGTGTTAAAATGGATGAAGAGATAAGTAGCTAAAATACTGCACGGGACTGAACAGATCTGGTAAATTACAATTTAAGAGCAAGATAATTGTAATTTAAATTACAATTTAATATCAGCAGCAGACATAGAACTAATCTGTTCATAAAGCAGATGTGACACAAATGCATACATGTTCCCTCTGACCCCCAGGTTCCCCATCTCATTCTGGAAAGTCAACCAGAAGCGACAATACCCCCTACCGAATTTGGAGTAGAAATAACACTCGGGCATCTTGGTCATGTCATATTCGTGCAGGAACTCGCACTGGTCTCCCTTTTTGCACAGCCCTCGCAGCCAGTGTTTGCAAACGACTGTCTTTTCCCCGCTAATGTGTCGGAAGGGGCACATGCCTCCTGCGGGAGAGGACAAATAGGAAAAAAAAAAATCAAATTTTTCACGCTGGGAACATTGTACACATGAACAAGGCAACGACAATCTTTTGCATTCATCTTGGAGACGCAGAAGCCTTTATATTTTTATATTAATTTACCACTGAAGTGCAGGTGAAAGATACTAAACGAAAAGCCCTGGACGAGAAAATTCTCCAGTATCCAAGGAGCCCAAGCCCCAGATCCTTTGCTTGGCAACACAGTTCCTATTATAGTCCAAACCTGCCAAATGTTTCATGTGTAATCAGTTCAATCACCACCCACATTATCGAATCCCACTGTTAACCTCAGAGATAAAAGTTGCCCCCTCTCCACGCTGCTTTCCCTAACCCAGGGGCAGGCAATTATTTTGGGCAGAGGGCTGCTTACTGAGTTTCAGCAAGCCATCAAGGGCCGCATGACAGGCAGCCCAGGGCAGATTAATATTAATTTCCTAAATGTTTTAGGGACCCCGCGGGCTAGATAGAATGGCCTGGCGGGCCGCATCCAGCCCTCGGGCCGCATTTTGACCATCCCTGCCCTAACCTCTTTAGTATGATTTAGGCACTGGAGTTCTCAGCTAGCAGGCACCTTTGAGTCAGAACAGAGCCAGATTGGGAATGTTACTTGCCTTTTCCGCAGGCAGCTTTTAAAAAAAATTCACAGACGGCAGCCCCTGATTCTGTGGAGGGAAAAAACAAACACACAGTGAAGGTTTCTCAAACTTTCCAGCCACTCCCTTCCCCATGGAGATGAGCTGGTTCTCAAAAAAAGCAGAAAACCTACTTTTATTCTGTGTTTCTACAGCACCCAGAACCATGGTATCCCAATGGTAAGACTGGTCTTCCCAAGTATTTGAACCCCTCTTAACAAACCATATGTCAATACAGCTTTAGAAGTTTGATGGTGCTGGGGACAGCTATGACTTCTATACCGTGCTGGAGACTGAATTTATCAAACCAAACACACACACTGTGGTCATGAGTGCACCACACTACCCATTTTCAGTGCAGACTGCCCCAAACCAGACCAGTCACAGCATATAAGGAGGGTACAATACTGGGCATGTTTCAATCAACAGCAGATTTCATTCAACTATAAGCCTCTCTTAACTATCCATATAAGTAATCAAAGCCCAAATTTTAAGGCCCAACTACGACTATCCTGCAAGGCCAGGGGCAAGTCTCATCCCCCCCACCCAGTGTCAGTCTGTCTCTCTCAAGCAGGGATGAACTAAGCCTCATAACACCCTTGCAAGGTAATCAAGCTGACTCCCCATCCTTTAATGCCATACCCGGTTGTGTTCCTAGCTTTGTGTATCCAGCAATAATGAGTTAAACACTGCCTTCAAGCACAAGCCAGGCAAAGGCTCAAACACTCCAGTGTAAACACATTACACAGAACGGGGCACGTGGCGCAGCCTCCCCTTGGTGAAGCCGCGTCTGGGCCCGGCTATGCTCGGGGCAGGTGGTGGCGGTGCTGGGAGGGAGGCTACAGTAGTTCAATTCGCTGTAGCCCCCCACAAACACCCCTCCCAGTGCCACCACCAGCAGCATGACCCAGCCCCCACCAGGAAGAGCTCAGCACTGCCCCCGCTCCAGCCCACCCTGCACATGCCCTCTCAGGGTGCACGCAGCAGCGCGAGCCCCCCCACTCCGGGACGAGCCGCAGCTCCATCCTGCGCCCACCTCGCCCCAGCTGGGCAGCGCATCAGGCAAAAAAAAAAAAAGCCGATTTCCGACACGGCCAATTTTCCTTATATTGGTGCTGAGCTGACATCAGACCGATGCGTCGGTACACCTCTAAGGTAAAGCCAAGTCCTTCTGATCCCTAAATACACCTGGGTTTGTGAAAGCTCAGGCTCTCTCTCTCCATATATGTCCTTAGTCTGTTGTAACGCATGTAACACGTGTAACAGGTGGAACCAGGGGGCAGCCTGCAGCGCTGCGATGTCTGCATAAGGGCCACTGAACTTGTGTTGCTTTGCGCACCGACGCCTCCTGGTCCGACTCCGTGCCCCCGGTTCACGCACCTGTACGATGACCCCGAGCTCATCGCACTCTTTTTGCCTTGGCGTGGCTGCAGCCCAATGTCTCTTAGCAGCTGGGCAAGCTGCACCGAGGCATCCTGCCGTCTTTGCAACGTACGCAGGCAGACCAGCGGGTCCCAATCCGTGGTACAGGTACCACCAGTGGTACGCACGCAACCTGCCCGTGCTACACGTTAACAGATTTATTATAACGACTTTATACGAGAAAAATATTTGCCGGTGGTGCTTCAGGCTGGACCGCTTTAAATTGGGGATGCGCCACGTGTCAGAGTTTGGGAACCGCCGTCGATCGTTACATTCTGCGGATCGGGTTCCTCGAGCTCCATATATCTCCGGTCCACGCAACGCCACGTACAGGCCGCGCAACGCCGCAGCCCGTAGATCACGGGATCGGAGAGACAGCAGGCTGGAGGGGACTGCCCCAGATGCGGGGAGGCGGAGAGGCCCCTGGCCTCGCGGGCAGGCGACGCCTCCACACCCTGCACGAGGGGGGAGGAGCCCCATGGCAGGGGGCGGGGCCTCCCCTCGCCCCGCCCCATTGGTGACGCACCACCCGCCTGGCCCCCACTCACTGTCCATGCCGGGGAAGGGCAGGGGCTGCGCGCCCAGCTGCTGCTCCACCGCCATCTCCAGGTCGAACTTGATGTGGTCCACGCTGGCGATGAGCTCCTGCATCCTGGCGACGGAGAGACACTCCAGGGC